GTTGAATTTTTGCAACACGAGCCTGAAATCTTGGGTGTTAATCGCACCGGCTTATTGTGAGCCAGGATGCAGATTAAGACAACACTCTTTGCTCCTTTAGCAGCAATCCTCATGTGTTTTATTGACTATCTGTAAAACTTAGCAGTTTTCCTGGTGCTAATCCACGAAAAAAAAAAATCTCTGGTTGAGTTCACACACTACACAATTCTGCAATATGGTTTGCTCCCTTCAGGCCTATCATGATGTGTGAATTCTCTCTCTGGGGTTATCAACCGTGGTTTATGGCTTAGAATTACATGCGGAGCCAGCCGACCAGGGTTTCCTCCACAAGCCACACTGAAAACCAACCATGGTTTTGCACTGTGCTCCAAAAAGCTCTCTTGGAAATCTTTTTTTGTACTCCAAAGTCTATCAAGAATAGGCAAACCTCTGGTATTTGGGATTCCAGTTCTGGGGGAGATGGGCAGCATATAAATTTAATAATAAATAAACCCATCAGATTTCTAGCAGAAGCAAGAGATTCTGGGAGTCACAATTCGGAAGGCCTGCAGCCCAACTCAGGTGAGCAAATGCAACACAGTGGCTGGGCAGAAACGCAGTGGCATCACCCTGGCTGGCTCTGCCCCTAATCTAGCTGCAGGTCAGGCTATTTCTGAGCTGCTTGAGGCTGATGCATGCTGACAAAAAGAGATGCTCAGGAAGAAGAACCCTAACATATTTTGATCCCCCAAAGGAAAGGATGGCAGCTGAGCTAATGCAGGGAAACCACCCAGTTTCTGGGAGCTCCGGCTATAGAAAAACATCAGGTTTGAAACCAGCCTCATCCATGCCTGGGGGTTAAAAAAACCAAACTGGCGGACATAGTGTTACTTGTTCCTGTCTTGTTTTCTCTTAGGGGTGCTGTGTGTCCTCGTCCCCAGAGGCATGACTCTCTCACTCCTCAACCAGGGCTTGGAGGCCTTTGCCCGCTCTTGAGGAGTCTGTTCCTGCTGGCAAGGCGGAAACCTCAACCCCTGGAATCTCCTTCTTCTCTTTTTCTCATGGGGAACACGGGTTGGAGATTTTGGACACTATGTGGACATACATTATGATGCGTTAGATGCAGAAGGATGGAGGGGGGACATCTTCCTACAGCTTCCTGCAAAGACCTCTGATGATAAAGACTTACGCGTCCTCTTCCTGTCCGGTGGTCACATAATGCCCGCAAAGGGATCGTGTTTGAGCCTTTTATCCCAATAAAACTGGGAAAACAAATCCGTCTTTCCTTTTATCAGTTAGCGCAGTGACCACCGGCAATGAATTATGTTTAGATTGTGCCGTGATTTCTGTTGGAGGAAAAGAGGCAGACACCTGAGATCACACTGCTAACATCTGAAAAATAATAAAAACAGCTAAGGGGTTCAAGAAAGTTATCTGTTTTTGCTTTACTGTTTATACTAACACTCTTGGCTTAGTATAGACCATTGTTTCTCAACTTTGGCAACTTTAAGATGGGTGGACTTCAACTC